GAAACGATGCTAGTTTTAAGGTAGCGCTAGAAATGCATTCGTATAACTGGCTTTTATACATTTCCGATCTAAAGTTGAAAATGATTACATGAAAAAATAATTGGCATGTAATCATAATAAACTCTAGATTGAAAATTAATAAAAGACATTTGTATAACCGGGTATTTTTTTATATCTTCGTAAAGAAGGAATAAAAAAAAACGAACAGTAAACAGAATACTATTATAATTCTCTTCTGTTATAAGGAGAATTAATAAACTAATCAATTATCCAAGAAGGAAATATTGACCTATAATATATTCAGTCAAAGCTTAACATTTCGGCACTGGTTGTCTGTTTCCGAGATAGAAAGATAATATACTGGAAAAGAAAGATAACTCTTGGCACTGTCGTAATCCGGTAATCAAAACTTGTTTTGCGACAGTGCAATCGATATTCAAGCAATAACAAGCAAAGAAAACATTTTAGTTATTTGTACTTTGAAAACATTTGATTCCAATTCAGTATCCTTTTTTTCTACATTCTTTATTCATTATCAGAGATGTATGAGTGTATTTGTTTATAAAAATATATAAATAAAAATATATATAAACAAGTGAATTATCTTCATAATTGGCCAGGAGCTAAATTTCAGGTTTGTAATCTTCATTTCCATTTTACATTAAATCATTGTGGCATTGTCACATTAAAAAAATTAAAAAGAGGTCCCTTTTTTCTATTGCTTATATGAACTTTAAACTATCAAACACGCCCATCCTTTCTTTTTTGTTCAGTTACGATAAAATAATGTGTGACAAGAGGGGGCATTTGGGAGTGAATTAAGCTTTTTTCGTCGTCACTATTGTTTTCATGATTTCCCCTGCTCAATTTTATGATTTACTTTTGACTACTGTTCCTTATCTCCATATATTTGATATCGCCTGCCCATTGCTTGTCAACACCTAAAACCATATCTGATTTTGATACCATGGAAGGCCTTTTTCAACTATTTTTGATTAAATATCGCTATTCACGAGTTTAATATGGTGAACACATTCGATAAAATTTAGATGATAGACGCACTTCTAAACACATTCTCACTTTTATAACACATTAAAATTCGAAATTTGTTAAATTTTGCTTTACTTAATGGAAAGTGTTGGTAATTTACACTCTCATGTTAAGATTTTCTTCCAACTGTTCCAATGAAGGTAATGTCAGTATAACGTGACTGGCGCTTGAATATAAGTTTTATGATCTAATTTCCATCATTATATAAAGTTATAATGCAAGTTTTCATCAAACTGTGCTTAAAATTGTACAAGGTTTAGAAAATACTTAGAGATCATGAAGATAAGGAACAATATTTGCTCCTTTTTGCATTGTTTTATGGATTGTTGATCTTGAATACTGTTCGTTATCTCCGTATGTTTCATGTTCAATCTCCAACAAATCAGGAACATTAGAGGTAGGATGTTACATCGAAACCGTTCGTACAGTGAAAACGTACAGTGTTCAAGCTCAAAACGAAAGCAAAGTTATTTATATCAAGAGTCCATTAAACAATACGAATCAAGAGCAGAGCAAACCGTTAAAATATCATAGGTCCATTAACAAAACACATCAACGGCAAGAGCAAACATGTACCTCTAAAATATCAGAGGTCCAAGAGTTTATGATAAAATGCATTAGCTTATATGGTCAGTTCAGTATTTTGTATTTTTAGTAAATAGACTACTATGTAATTATTTAAAAAATATTTGATTTATAATCTACATGTAAGTTATTGTTTCTAAGAGGGTAATAATGCCTCATTGAATCTTCATATATATTTCATCTGGAATATTCCTCTTATCATGAAGCGAAAACATTATTTGCCTCAAACTGACTAAATTAATCAATATCAATTGTCCTTGTAGCGAGTTTTTCATTACAGATCGCATTAAGAAAGTCAATATAAAAACAAACTTATTCTGTAATTATAAGGTAATGTAAAATCAAGTAAAGGATTAGATTAAATGGTTTTGCTTCATACATCCCTAGGATATCTTTGTACTCATCAACAGTTAATGTTTTGAAATTGATTTTGAACAATGCTAGAGCGTGTAGCTCTGTTTTTATTTAAACATTTGATTCAGTTTTGCTGTAAAATATGAAATATCAAGTCAACTTTGCTTGATTTTAATATTTACCATGTTGAATTAAACTAAAGATATAAAAGTAAAAATTTCCATTGCATAAATTTTCAATCAAAACATATTTTGTATCAAGAAACTTTAGTTTAAAAATTTTTTCATTGTTTAATTTTCATATTTATCGATACATAAACATGGTTCGATGATTCCTACTATTGATAAAGTACAGAAGGAAAACCAATCTAGTTTTTTATGCTGTAATTTGATGTACGGTTCCCGGTAGTCAACCAAGCAGAACGAGACCCGTTTACCCTATCACCTCTGGCTGTACAATACGTTAACTATGGAGGATACCCTATGTTTATTTAGTTTGTGTACTTTTTTGTGTTTTTTTTTAGCTTAAACACTGGTCGTTATCTCTATTTTTACATCTTAGAAGTAAAATCTGAATTTGTTTTTCCCTAGATTTCTTTAAACAGGGTTTCCAAAGATAGTTTATCACATAATAGCTGGCGTACTTATGCATTCATTTGAAGCAGTATTTGTACAAAATCCTATGCATGAAAATAAGAAAACACTTGCTGTGGCTTTCAACTCGACGCTTAGATATATCGACGACGTATTGTCAATTAACACTGGAAATTTCCATTCTTATGTCGATACAATATATCCTTGTGAGCTTGAGATAAAAGATACCACAGGGTCTGTCACATCTGTTTCATATTTGTATACATGTATTTTACTTGAAGAAAGACGTTAATGGTAATATAACAACCACACTCTATGATAAATGTGATGACTTTAATTTTTCTCTCGTCAACTTCCCTTACTTATGCAGCAATATACCTTCATCACCTCCATATGGAATTTATATATCTCAGTTGATTCGATACGCTAGAGCGTGCTCTACGTATGACTATTTATAAAAAGGTACATTATTGACAAACAAGTTGAGGAAACAAGAATTTCAGGAATTAATTTGATTATTTTGTAGTTTCTATGATTGATACAATGACCTTGTCAGCAAATACTATTTATCATTGATTCAAATTCTGACTGATGTTTTTCATACTAATTGTTAGTCCATTATTTATATACTAAATTGACGAAGAATTTTTTTCCGATATTTCCCTGATGATGACAATAAGCACGTTGGGGGGGGGACCTGTTGGCAGGGATGCTCACTCCTATATGGCACCACCTCTGATTTTTTCATACTAATTGTTAGTCCATTATTTATATACTAAATTGACGAAGAATTTTTTTCCGATATTTCCCTGATGATGACAATAAGCACGTTGGGGGGGGGGGGGACCTGTTGGCAGGGATGCTCACTCCTATATGGCACCACCTCTGATTTTTTCAGAGGTCCGTGTTTGTTTTGTATGTTGTTTAACGTCCCTCTCGAGAATTTTTCACGCATATGGAGACGCCACCACGTGCCGGTGGAGAGCTGCAAATTTTGTCCTATACTCGGCACTCAGGGCCATTGAACAGTGAAGATCTTCTTCGTCCCAGGACCTAGTGCAACACGGGACCTCGGTTTATACGGTGTCATCCAAAGGATCGGTTTCCACGTCCCACGGTGGCATTCGAGCCCGCGATGTTTGGATCCTGCTCCTTACTTCGGGATTCTAGAGCAGACACTCTAACCACTGCGCCATGCAGGCGACTGGAAGTCTGTGTTTGCTCTGCTCCTATTTTGTATAGTTTTATGTACTTTTGATGTTGAATACTATTCTCTATATCCATGTGTTTCATAATATGAATTGTAAATTGTCATCATTTATAGCGCACAAGTTTTCCATGATATAAACTTGGCATGAATTCTAGTATTGGATTTTGACTTTATCTTTTGCTTTTATTAGGACAGAAAAGTCTTTATCTGTTAACAAAAAATTATTTAATTTTAAGAACTCTTCCTTTTGTAAAATTCTTTTAGCTTACAATATGCAACTACTGTCGAATGATAAGTACAATAACAGTTCTTACATTTACGTAATATTTTATGAACTCTTCCTTTTGTAAAATTCTTTTAGCTTACAATATTTTATGTAATATTTTATGTCAGGGGAAGTTAAGATTCAAACATCAGAAGAAAAACCAAGTCCTGTATGTTGGATAGGATTTTATCGTCTCCATGCTAATTGTTTAAGTTTTAGATTGTTAAAAATTTTTTAATATAAACCTAGTTTTTGAAATAGTAAAGAAAACAAATTGTTTTCAAGATTAAGGTTTGAATAGGAGTGGAACAAACAGGGACCTATTAAGCATCAGTGGTTGGATTAGGTGCCTGTAGGAGTGAGTAGCCCTGCCGACCGGTCACACTTGCCGTGATCTCCTCGTCTAGATCTGAAAATATTGTGAAAATTCGTTGTCAATTCATTGTTTAAATAATGACCTATAAATTTTTATGGAAAACGTCAACCAGAATTAATCAGACTTAATGATACGTTATATTTGTTGTCAATTATCAATAAATTTACTTTCATTAATATTTCGACTTCATATTTCCATATTCAAACTGGCATTTTAGACACTAACATGTTGTCAGATTTGTGTGATATTTGAATATCATACTGACTATATACGATACGAACCATCTAACAACTAAACAGTATGACAGAGAAGATGACGTCAATTTTTTTATCGTCAGCTTTTCCTATTTAATAAGTAAAATTCTTTTATCACCTTAATATATTTTTTACGTTCCCAAGCCCTCATTCAAGCATTTTCATCATCCGAGACAGGCTTGTGATTAATAATTTAACAACTCTGTCAAAATTCTCAAATTTTGCCAAATATATTTCTTTATAAAGACAGAAAAACATTAAAATGAGAAATACACATAAAATTATTTCTGTTCTTAGTTCGTATACTTGTTAATTAAAAATTTCAGAAGAATTCATCCTAACGTTTAAATATCTTAAATGTTGTAAAAGTATGTGACCTTCAGATAAAAAAAATCAAAATTTGATATATCATTTAACTACAAAAGAATTGTCTTGAATCTGTACAAATGATATCGTCCAGACCTCCTGTATTACACCATACATCCATACTGAGATCGACACCAACACAATCACTGTTTTCGCTAGGCTGATTGGGGCACCACCCCTCTGTAATTGGGGTACCATCGTGCCATTCGTATGAGTAACTTCCGGTTCGCCATGCATAAACATGAATCCACTCTTTATTAAAGAGATAAAAATGTATAATAATTAAGTACGATTAAATTGCTTGCATAAACTATATTGACTGTTTCAAACATACTTTGGTCGATAAGCTCCATCAAAGTAGTAATTTGAGTTAAATTTTTGGCCCCCATCATTGTTCTGCCTTCTGATTCACATTTACGCTTGGCATCTTCATAGGGAAGGAAATCAGTACTGAGCCAGATACAGGACTGGTACTGAGAGAACCATTCATCTCGCCCGGCCACACAATCTGTGAATAGTCGTGGAATAAGACCTAATTACAGTAAGGGGGTAGACTGGTATCAGAGTAAAACTCTCCTAGAGTAAAATGTACTCAGAAAACAAGACAGTACAAGCATACTATTACAAACATGAAATTATATATACATTTGTTTCTAATTTGTCACCTTATCCCATCTCCAATATTTTGGAGATCCGTGTTTGCTCTGCTCCTATTTACTATTGTTTTATGGATTTTTATCTTGAATATTGTTCGTTATCTCCATATGTTTTATAGCATATTTTACTAGAAAAAGAAGTAATTGGTTATCTTACAGTAATGTTTGATGAAAAAAGTGAGGACTTTAGTTTTTCAATCGTCAACTCCCCTTACTTATGTGGCAGTATACTTTCATCACCTCCATACAAACTTTATATCTCTCAGTTGATTCAATACGCATGAGAACAATTTCTTAAACGAGACAAGCTATTGACAATCAAGATGGTGAAACAGTTAAAGGTACCGTATGGAATTATCGTTTAACACGTTTATGATCGATACCTTGTCAGTAGATATAGTCATTAAGTCAAATACTTACTGACTTTTTAAAAACTAATTTATAGACCATTATGAAGGATATGGAGATAACGAATAGTATTTAATATCAAAGTCCATAAAACAATACAAAATAGGAGCAGAGCAAACACGGACCTCCAAAACTTCAGAGGTGGGATTAGGTCAATGGAGGAGTAAGCATCCCCTGCCGACCGGTCACACCCGCCGTGTGCTCCTTCTCATGACCAGGAAATATCGGAAAAATCCGTCGTCAATTCAGTGTATCAATAATGGACCAATGTTTACTATGAAAAACGTCAGCCAGCATTTGACTCAATGATAAATTGTATTTGCTCACAAGGTTATTGCATCGATCATAGAACTTACGAAATTATGGCTTTAAACGAGACTGCTTATATCCTTGTTTCATCAACCTGTTTGCCAATAATTTACCTCGTTTTAGAAATTGTTCATATGTAGAGCATGCTATTGCGTATCGAATTAACTGAGATACAGAAACTCCGTATGCAGGTGATGTTTTTACGTATGTTTTCGTTTATTCCTATCTTGACATATTGAAAATGTTAAAAATAATTGTGTTAAGAAACTGAATCGAAATGAAAATACCAGTCTGAGTATCAATGTTCCGATCCCAACATTTATGTTTTTAGATGTCCATGATTGTTCTGCTACGGATTTGTATAGTTTCTTTTAAATTTAAATTTTATAACGGTTCTTTCTTAACTTGTAAGTATGCAGTAATATGCTATTATTGCGGAGTTTGTATCTTTCAATTAATTTGATACACAAGGACATGTTCTATGTATAATCAATTTCTAAAACGAGGTAGTTTATTGACAAAAAAATTATGAAATAAGAGAATCAACAGTCTTGTTTAAAGTCATCATTTCGTAAATTCTATGATCGATTCAATGACCTTGTCAGCAAATACAATCTATCAATTATTTAAGTACTTATTGTTAGGCCATTATTATTTAAATACAAAATTGTATACGGGTTTTTGTATGTGTACGTTATTTCATATTTCATAGACGTTATTTTATATATGATGACAGAAAGCATGCTGTGCGTGTAAACGATCGGCAGGAGAAGCTTTCTTCCTTATGACATCGGATCTTACTTCTATATTATTCAGAGGTCCGTATAAACTTGCCATTTTCTTAATAGTCAGTAAATAGAAGAGGTGTTTTATCATACCGAAGCCGACTTTATTTGTATTATGTCATAATCTTGATAAAACCAGAAGAATTCCAAAATGAAAAGCGAGGGAAACGGAATTCTACCGGTGAATAGTTTGATAACTATTTCACCACAGGCAAATAGCACAAGAACTATCTAACTCAAAGTGGGTTTGTTTAGAGAAAAAATAGGAGGTTTATTCATCATAGAAAAAAATCACATAGATATAATAAAATAAACTATTAACATTAAATTCATAGTAGGGTGAATTCACCATGCATCGGACACCTTTGTACTTCAACAAGTTCTAGCGATTTCGCTATCTATGGAAATTTATCAAAATGGAAATAAACATTAAGTAAGATATTATACACCTATTTATTGGCTATGAGGACAACAGCAAGTTTATCGTCCCCTAAGGCAGCAAATATTTTCCGAGGTTCAGTTAAGGGAAATGGCTGCTGTCGAGAAGGACGATAAACTTGCCATTTTCTTAATAGTCATTAAATAGAAGAGGTGTTTTCATAGTAACATTAAACTCACATCAATCTTAAAAATTATATTGAAATATAATGAAATTAATTATAGGCAATTTATTCTTACTGCTTGGCATCCTCAGATAAAATTGGTTCCCTTGTACTTCATTCGTAACTGCTTTGTATCTCTCCCCGTTGTATAAATCACAATCATTGGTAACTTCATTATATCGGAATTGCTTACAAGTGAATATCATCTGACATTTCAGGGCACAAGAGGTAGCTGTGTGGTTCGCCTCTGTGTGCATAGGAATTTCCGAAATACCACGACTATTCAACCTTGGTACTACTTTCCATGTATAACTGGACAAACATTCTACAAGATAAGTTATAGATACTTACTGACAAATTGTGAATGATAAGTTTAGTGTATAGTTATAAACAAAAATCGAAAAATATTTGAAATAGGTAAGTTTTTAAAGAAATACCTTTTATGAAACCGAGTAGAATACATTTCCAGTATAACATTATCCTGCACATGATCACGTTAAGTTAGCTGATAGATTTCCCGACCGACGGTAGGTAGGCAGGAGACACAGACATTCTCATCGATCTCAGCTTAGATTCATTTAATTTAATTCTACTGGTGTAACTGATTCAAAATGTTACCTCCCTGTCATAACTCTTTGAGTTTATTTCTTATTAATTAATATGGAGATAATAAGTAGTATTCAAGTCGCATAATACAAATCGGTGATAGAGCAGAACTCTAACACATTAGAGTTGGATCAAGAGCCATGAAGGAGAAGACATTCCCTGTCAACCAGTCACAGTATAAGACTGAATAGATATGTTTTACTTGCTGAGAATGTTGTATAGACAGAACTTGCAAAATTATTATTTTAAACTGTTTATTAATAACGTGCCTCATTTTCCTTATACATAAAGATTACTCTTGCTTATGAAAGAAACTAACTGAAAATAAAAGCCCTGTATACAGGGTTAGGTTTAGTGATAAGGTATATCGCTACACCAGTTAGAAAAATTGAATTGATCAAGTTTGCAAACATTCCGTTCCGTGTCATCATTAATTAAAAGTGATTTTTATATACGTTATTGTTTATATCTATCTTATATACTTTCTTCAAGTGTATTATAGTTGATGTAAGTAATTAAAAAAAATAACATTCCAAGGGGGTGATTGTGGTTTTTATTGTGCAATGCTTTGTGCAGCGTATTTAAATAAGGTATTTTCACCCCTACTAATGTGTTCGGAACCTTTTCTTTTTCGGTGTTCTGCAAATTATAAAACCCGATGAGTTCAGAGTAGCTCTGACAGTGGCTCTGGCGAGACTTAGCGAGATTTCAGCGAGATAGGGTAATTATTCACGGAAATGTGGCTAGGAAGTGACTAGCACGTGGAGACATGGTAAACAGAAAAGTTATGTTGCGTTTTAGTTTTCACCACCCTATAATATCATTTTGTAGAAATGTACTTCAATAGATCTCTTTTGAATTCATTCAAATTTAAATTATAAGTGTTCTCTATGATACAATTTTCTGCTGTCATGAATTAAAATTTCTTTTTGAACAAATATTTTGCATGGACTATATTTTTTGGCGTCAGATTAGCAAATGGGGCACCAATGTGACTTTAATTGACAAATCAGCTGAATGAGAATTGCATTATGGATTACTACGAATACTACAGGAATTTTACGCTTGATAAATTCCTTTATTGTACGGTGAATACAATTGTCAGGTAGATTCCCTGGCCAACAGACGTGATAACGAGTATAGTTACGTAGAAAATGTATTGTCCATTTAAATGCATACGAGAAGGTGCTCATTTTCCTTACCCTTGAAGTGCTGGTGTTCTGAACTTGACACTAACTACGTATTCATTTTTTAAAACATATTTTTCTCTAGTTAACAACAAATTATAAACGCCCGTGAGCCCCGTGATATCTTTCATAGTTTCTAATGTTTGCATTTTGTTCATAAGAACATTTTTTTTTTATTTCGCACTCCATTGACATGATCATAGATTGACCTGAACCAAGTGTTCGAAGTAACAAGTAAACATGCATTTGGCATAAACGTATTCAATCAACAATTGGTCAGTTGCTCATGGTAAGATCCTTTGTGCGCATTAATATCAATAGCCATATAAGGCAAACAAAGGTTTGTCAGTGTAGATGATTTTACACATTTTTTTTACCAGTGTATCGATCGCTATTGAGCTGTGATTTTTGCAGTAGACTATGATAAGATGTATTAATTTCTATTTACCCCCCTCCCCCCTTTAGACACCCATTTCTTTTGAAAATCATGAAAGTCTTTCAGAAAGGTCTGGAAACACATTTTTCACAGGACATGTTTTCAGAAGAAACAGACTATAGCAATTTCCTGTTTACTGCCAATTTTATTTATAAAACCGGTTCTACCCTATAACCTTTGAATAGGTAAACCAAAACCACGTGTCTTGAATTTAAATCACAACATTTAAGGGGCCCTCTAATAACATTAGATATATTCATTCAATTTTATTTTAATTAAGATAAAATCTACTGAATTAAAAATATAGATAAATAAATATATATGAAAAATTAAGATTAAAGAAAAAGAAAAATTTTATTGTACCTTTAATTCTATTTTTTTCCCAAACTATTCAATAGTCTTTTAAATATAACACAAATGTTTTTTTCTTAAAATGATATAGATATACTGATAAATAAAGTGTTTCTATAAAGATTTGTCTCATTTAAGTCGTTTATTTATCATTTCAAATTAATTTTTAATTATTAAAACTTTCATTTAAATCATCATAAATGTTAGTAGGGGTGATTTTTATCTTCAGACGTTATTTGTAACAGCATGTTCTAAACGTGTTGTACATCACATGTGGACGTTAAAGTATAAGTCACATTATCCAACGATGGGGTATACGATGAGAAACCGATGCGTTTTTTGATGAAAATGGCGTGGTTGCCGGCCGGGCACCACTAGCGATCGGACGGTGACTGAGTCTTTTTTGCGAATCGGTGGGGTCATCGGTAGGGAATAATTTGTAGTTAAAATTCAGCGATGTCTCCAACGATGCCTCACATCGCTCATCACTGGCAACCCATCATAAACACATCTTTCATGGATCGGCCGATGTATGGCCGAGCATCGTCCAATATTCGTTGAATCTGAGGTCATCGGGGAGTTTAGTGGTGTTCAACAGATAACGAAATTGCTGATGTATTTCGATCATTTCTTTTCTTCTTTCTTTAGGCCAAACTCAATGATGGTTTTTGGTTCACCAAACATTATGGCCCGTATGCAGTTGTACGCATGCACTAATGGGTTAATATACAGCTTCCAGTTCTGTTTCTGTGATGGTTTCAGGGTTCCTAGCATGTTGAGTAAAGTTCTGTTATAACAGTTTCAACGACCGATCATCGGTCGATGTTTGACCAAACATTGGCCCGTAGTCGACTCATATGATTTCTCTCAAACGATGCATGGTAAGGGGTTGTCAATCTGACATAATTCTTTGATAATTTGGCTCTCATGTATGAGCGATGTAATATACATCGGCCGATTATCCTGGAACATCGTTTTATGATAAGTAATGCATCGCTAGGCCTTTGTAAGTCCTGCCGGCAACCACGCCATTTTTCTCATAAAACGCATTGGTTGTTCATCGTATACCCATCGCTGGATAATGTGACTGATACTTGAAGGACTACTTGGCCGATGTGGACCGATGTTGGGGCATCGTTAACACCACGGATTACTACCGATTACCACCGGTCTACGGCTACCGGCCGGGAAATGTGACCTAGGCATAAATAAGCAGTTTTCTATGAACTCAAAAATGTCCAAAAGTACTATTTCCTTTTAAATGTACTAGTATTCTTCACTTTTCATATTTCATATGAGTTGCTAGGCTTTTCTTTTTCTCATAGTATCACCAATTTTTTTTTTAAATACTAAGAATTAGGCAGATTCCAAAGATAAAAAGAATAGCGTTTTTATCGACATTTTCGATGATGGATGAATTTTCAGACGTTTTCTTGGATAAATGAATTATAAATTGGAAATCTTTTTTTTCTCTTTGGGTTATTTGGTATTCAGCGCTTACGTAATTCATTGATCAATAAAATATTTGTGTATTGACAATGAACTACACTTGTTATTTTTAATGTTCTTGAAGCTTTATACTTCTCTTTTTCCTATATTTACTTTTTGCACTGAATTCTGAAAAGAACAAAAAAATTTTGGATGATTTGTTTACACATAATATCACCAAATTATTCATTTAAAATAAAATACATTAGGCAGATTCCAGAGATAAAAAGATATCGACATTTTCGATGACGAATTATTTTTCAGGCGCCCTGTTAGATAGAAATTTTCTTTAACATGGTATAAAAATTAAAATCAAAATGTTTTTCATATCTAGGTGATTTCGTATTGTGGGCTTACGTTATTCATTGATCTAGAAAATATTTATATATCAATTGACAAAGAACTTTACTTGCAATTTTCAAATGTCCTTAAATGCTTTATACCTCACTTTCTTAAATTTACTTTTTGCACTGAATACTTAGAAGAAAGGCCGTTTTTGTTTTCTTATTCTGCATTGAAGTTTAGTACTATAAAACGAAAAGAATTGGTTCATACTTATTTTAGCGCAAACGCAAGTGGAAGTGCATTTGCGCAAATTTTAGCGCTTGCACTTGTCATTAAAATATATAAATGTGAATATATTGGGTTTTTTTATCCATTTTGACTTTTTGGTTAGTCAGGAAAAACAATAGCACTCCCGTATGTGAGTAAACATTCGTCAACTTAACCGTGGTGTTGCAATCACATGGACGTGGCACAATGTCAATTTTCTTTTATTTTTTGTAAATAAAAGAAAACGTGGAGTATTTACGCATTTTCTTTATCTTAAAACAATACATCATCGAAAGAAGGTTACTTGGATGGTATGTTCCCCGAATGGCTACTCGGAAAAAACAACAAGTAATTATCACACTCATTTAAGGGGCCCTCTAAGGGGTACAGTTAGACTTACCTGTGTTTACCTGGATAAGCAATATTTAATAAATCAGATATATTCATTCAATTTTATTTTAATTAAGAGGGTTTTTTTAGTTTCCGAAATATACTGAATTAAAAATATAGATAAATAAATATATATGGATAAAATTAAGATTAAAGAAAAAGAAAAATTTTATTGTACCTTTAATTCTATTTTTTTCCCCAAACTATTCAATAGTCTTTTAAATAAATTAACACAAATGTTTTTTTCTTAAAATGATATAGATATCTACGCATGATAAATAAAGTGTTTCTATAAAGATTTTTCTCATTTAAGTCGTTTATTTATCATTTCAAATTAATTTTTAATTATTAAAACTTTCATTTAAATCATCATAAATGCAGAACTTTATGTTTCAATTTTTATAATAAATATAGACGATTCCAGATAAAAACAGATCACTTTGATTTTTAAGGAATTCCTAAGATAATAAGCTAACTGATGAAGCACCTGATAATTGATATCAGTTCACTTTGAAATTTTCAATAAGCAATTTTTAATAATGGAAGGAAGCATTAGA